AGAACGAGAACGAGGACTTCCTGTGCCTGCGGGCGCAGCGGGATCTCGTGGCCGCGGAGCTGGGGCTGGAGCGGGAGCTGGAGCTGAGCATGGGCATGAGCGAGGACTTTGAGGGGGCCGTGAGGCTGGGCAGCGGGGAGGTGAGGGTGGGCAGCACGATCTTTGGGGAGAGGGGGCCGAAGAGCGAGGCCAAGCTTGTGGTTTGACGGAGCTGGGTGGATGGATAGATGTATGGATGGTCCAAGGGCAGTTTACTGCAGGGTTGCGGTTGTTGGTGATTATCGACTTTGAAGTGGCCGAAGTGAGTTTTGAGCCATGGATAACAGGTACTGGCGACCCAGGAACGGGAAGAGAGGAGGCTGTTACCGAATTGGCAGTAGGTAGGTATAGGTATGAAGGCTTTGGCATTATTGCCGCAAAAAAAGCCAGCTTTGGACCTCTATGATCTTGATGTCGTACAATGTTATGCCGGACACCTGGGCTGCTTCAGAGATGTAGTACTATCTTTGACAGTATTGTGCACAGAAATTCCCGGACACGCGATACTACTGCCTTAGTAAACTCTTCATCCAATCTCTTTGCTTCGCGGCTTCCCTTCTAATATCTTCCGTCACCGCTAATGAGTAGTAATTGGAGTCGTGGGCCCCTGAAACTGCGTTGGCTGCTTCAATGGCTTTTCTTCTGCTTCGCACATTAGAGATGGGGGTAGTCCCATCGTCTTCCTGTTGCCACTAATTCTTACCGGAGGATGGAATCTTGTTTCCTTACAAGAACTAGCACTTTCTCTGGCTTGCTCACATATTTGCTGTCACGTGGGATACGAGGCATTTGATTTCTGCCCATGAGTAACGGTCGTCTTTTTACGTGGCATCTTTCTTCTCTTCGGCATCTCTCGTTGCTCCAGCTCCACAGGCCGCTGTAGAATGCACAGCATCTGAGCTTGATCATTTCCGTCGCTGCAACGGAGGCGGATGATAGGAATATGGTTTCATACGTTCACATCAAGGCTTGGAGTATCAGGAACACGGCACTTCTCAGCAGAATTAGGCGTCCAAAGAACTACATGGGTAATGGGAGTCTTGACAGAAGAGACGGGTAGGGACAACAGCCGACGACAAGATGGTTTCGGGAGCGTTCATTACATCACAAAAGACACGAACCAAATGTATTTGGGAATGATGTTGATTGATTGCCCGCCATGGCAGAACAGGTGCTTTTCTGTACGATGTATCCGAACACCAAGCTTCCAAACAAAAACTCCCAAAAGCCAAACTCCAAACCCCAAATCCAGCAAATTTCAAAACCCCATGCCCATGATTGGTGTGGTGACTTGATGCACCGGGTATCAGTAAATCACCACAAACTCCTTTTCGAGTCTCGAACCCGAGCACCATGTTCGATCCCTCCTGCCTTATTATTATTATTATTCTTATTATTTTTCTTATATTTATCATTATCATCATCATTATTATTGTTGTTGTTGTTGATGATGATCGGTCACAGGAGCAGCCACCGCTCAGCAGGCCAGAGGCACGAGCTCTAGGCCAACACAGAGTCGAGGCAATTTTGAACCCCCTGGCGCATGTTGTTGTAAACAACTGCGTGGTCATCAGGGGGGGGACAATTTATTCTGATGAAGTGCTTGAGACTGTCCAGTGCGACGCCTTTGTGCATCACATCCCCAATGAGGCGAGATGCCACCGAGACCTTAGCATCGTCGCCAAAAGCGAGGGTAATCAACAAGGAGGCCACGACCTGACCTTGCTCCAGGGCCATGGTCTGGAGCATGGGAATGCGATACTTGCGGACTTCCGTGAGTTTTGCGGACCCGTCGAAGACTGGCGGACGGAAGGGGCCCGCGCGGAACTGGACCTCTTTCATGGGGCACCCGGTCACTTGCGAGAGGAAGGAGCGGGCCTTTTGAAAGTCGGACATGGTATTGAGAAGGGCCTGAACAGTGGCCCTGTGTGCGGGCTGCTCGGTGAGCTCGGAGCAGAAAATGAGGGCGTCCTTGAGGTAGGTATTGACGACGGCGGCGGCGGTGTCGATACGGGTTTGGTTGGTCTTATTTGTGCGGCCGTCGGCACCGGAGACGCAGCACTCGCGGTTCTTCTTGAGGCATGCCGCGCAGCTTGCGGAGCCTTCGACGGCCACGCACTTGACCTTGCTGCGACGGCAGGCATCGCAGGAATTGGCCTTGACTGCCCGGGTCGGCTCTCCCGCAGCCTTCTTGCCAGCCTTCTTCTTGGCCACTCTGTTGCCATTTGTGTTAGGCGCGAGTGCTTGGTCCGCCGATCGTGGAAGAGGCGGGGAGATAGGCTCGGGAGAAGGCCGATCCGGGTTCAGAGGGACGTCGGCCATGTTGTGGTCCTCAGCACCCTCGGCATCCCCAGCCCCCTTGGCATCCCTGGCGTCCTGGGCGTATTCACCCACTCCATGAGGAGGATGAACAGCAGCAGGATCAACCATAGGAATGGCCACAGCAGGCATCTCCAACAGCTGGGGGTCAATATAGTCCCCAGCTGGGAAGGAGGAGGGGGGGAGGGGAGAGGGAGGGAGGGGAGAGGGAGGCCGAGGGAGAGGGAGGGGGAGAGCGGAAGGGGAAAGGGGGGCGGAGAAAGGAAGAGAAGGAAGAGGAGGAGAAGGAAGAGGAGGAAGAGGAGGAGGGGAAGAGAAAGTAGGAAGGGATGCGAGGAAGTCGGGAAAATTGTCGGCTGGTGGCTCCTGTGGCTCCCTTCCAAACAGGTCCCCGAGCTCGAGCTGCTGCTCGGGCTGTTGTTGCTGTTGTTGTTGCTGCTGCTGCTGTTGAGGCTGCTCCAGGAACATATTCTCAGACAGGAAGTTATCCCCGGACATGTTGAGCGCCCCGGCCAGGCCTTGGAGCTCCTGTTGAGTCAGCTCAATCCCAAGCATGTCAGTGAAGACCTCCTCCCGAGGCTGCTCCTCAAAGCTGTAATCGGCGTCCATGGCGAATGATTGGACGAAAAGTTAGGGGTGAAGTCGAGTTTGTAAAAAGAAGTAACAAGGGGCTGGACCGAAGTCAAGTATCAACAGAAAGTAATCAGACGAGGGATTAGACCGACGTCGAGTATGAACAAGAATCAGATGAGGGATTAGACTGAATTCGAGTATGAACAAGAAGTAATGTGAAGAAAGTCGAGCCTCTATCTGCGTGAAGAATCTAGGAAGAAGAGAAACCAAGGCCTGGGGGATCTGGGCCTCGTTATATACCGGAAAAAGAGGCACCTTGATGAAAAGAGGTCGCGAAGAAATACGTCCTTTTCTTCGTACCATGGCTGAGAACCTCCCGTGATTCCCAAAGGATGCTCTTCGAGGCAAGAATACAGGAGCAGTAGTCCGCCAAAACCTCTACGGCCCAGGCCATGGTTGGGCATGGCACCATCAGAGAGTTTGACGGGCTTCCCATTGTCACCAGACTCTCAAGGGCTGGCTGAAGTGACCCGGGGAAGACGAAAGTATGCTGCGATAGTTTGGACTTATCCCCGTGACATAGGCGATCGGTCTAAGGCAATGGGAAGGCGCGCACGCTTGGCTTCTCCTGGGAGTTGTGTGTATTTCGTTTCTATCCAAATCAGACAAGACGTCGTTTGGACCGTTTAATCATCCAATTGGGCCTAAATATCGAATAGCTACAAATCCATCGTGAAGAATGGGCTTTGGGTTTCTCAATCTAGAAGCCAACACCTCGAGAAACACCAATGCCACCAGCCGAGACTCCTACGAATGCTGGAAATTCTGTGCTAGTCTTCTCCCCCCCGGCCTGAAAAAGTGGCGGGCTTTCCACACGAAACCTTCCATTCAATTTGAAGAGCTTTTTCCAATTTGGGCTAGAGACCGGATGCCCTCTACCGACAGGTCGAGGCCGTCCATGTCTGGCTGGCTTCGTCAATGGCTTGCTGGCTGACGTTTTGTACAGGGGGCTGCACTGTGGAGGTATCCACCGGCTTCTTGCTCAAGTGCTGTGCGTCCTGCCCTAACCTCGCCCTCTTCTTTTGGTTGGCGTGATATCCCTCCCAATTCTTCCAAATGCCCTCAGATGTGTCAATTCGCAGCCTCAAAAACGTTCTTGTTATCAATCACAACGACAACCGACTGATGAATGTAGTCGACTTAAACGCACTTAGACCGTTTAGCAGGGCTGCAGTGCACCTGGTCCTAGCGGCCGACTCCTGCAGGTTTCTGCATCGGGCACGTGTTTGGAGCAGTTGATTGGCTTCTGCGTCGAACTGGTGGGACAGCTCAGCGGTCTTGGCTGCTAGTTTTTTGGGGCCGCAGCACCCCAATTCAACCTTATTTTTGGCAGCCCCTAGCAACGAGCAACGACATTTGTTTTGCTTGTTTTCGCCTGCACGAGAGAGAAGACTGAATTCTGACTGTCTATCCCATTGATGGAGGGAAAACGCTATACAAAATGAAAAAGAAGAAGAAGGAGGTCTCGGTTGCAACTGATGAACATCCCTGTACATGGCTGTTAACCCTTTTCGCCCGGCAAAAAACTTTGTCTCGAGGCGTCGCAGAGCGCCTATCTCCGATGCTGTTCCCTACCTAAGGTAGGTGCCTCCCTACCTATGATGACGAAATGTGAGAACAGCAGACCCTTTTCTCCCGAAGATGGCCCGGACGGCTAAAGTTGGCACAGTTTGTATGTGTTTGTGTCGGCAGAGGGAAGCGTGTCTTGTTCCCGGCTGTCCCATCCAATATTTCCCCGGGTGACAGGTACGTTGGACAGGAGGACCCGGCCGTGGCTTTCGATGTACAGGTACCTGTGCGTTACTTGTTCGGAGATAGAAAGACTTTTGGTCAAGTAGCATGAGATGTGGGCTGTCCCACTGTATGTGGCTGGCGCCTCGTCGCAGGCAGCCATGATACCTATCTCCCTACCTACCCAGCCCAAGCCGGCCTAGAGGACAGAGGAAGGAGACACTCCACTGAACCCTATCATATATGAAGCTCAAACATGCTTCGAAGACTCAAGGGACGGTTGTTGTAGTATAGTGGTCAGTACTCTGGTTTATGATCTCAGAATCACCTATGCCAGCAACCCTGGTTCGATCCCAGGCGCAACCCCCCCGAGTTTTTTTGGGAGTTTTTTTCCTACTCTTTTTCTGTATCCGTACAGCTTCAGTAAATATGTATATGCTTTCTATTTATGTCTACCGGTATGATACATGTCATTTTCCTCGGAAACAGGTCAAAGGGATGGCCATAGTGAAAAGGGCGCGGATGGCGGATGGTCATGCCTTCGAGGCAAGCCTGGTAGGGCGAGTGGGGTGAATTGAATGTAGTAGGTATGAAGAGATTAATTCTGACTGCGCAGTAGTTGCGAGCCATGAAAATGACGTGCAGAAGGGGTTGAACTGTATTCAGAATATGGGTGCCAAACTGTCCTGGAAGCGGCCCCTCAAAATGCCACCGTGACGACGGATATTCTATTTCCTGGGGAAACACATCATGTTACTGTGTGATGTCTCTCCTGGGTGGGTTACTCAAAGGGAACTGAAATGGGCCTGTTTATAACAACTATTTATTGGAGCTTCTTCGTCTTAGTCTTTTCGTGTTGCTACCCATGGACTGGTTGACGGTATTCACAGCTACCCTGTTGCCTGTGTCAGAGGAGGCCGAGGGCAGTCCAAATCCATGATCACAATCAACTTGACTAGACAGCGAACGAAGTATCGATGAAGATCAATTGAAGAACTAACCAAGCTCTTCTAGTCCTACGATCTGTCCATTAGGATCAAAACCTCCTGCAGATGGCCTAGCAACATCGAATGCCAGAAAAGTCCCTTATTAAGAGAATGCACCGTTTGTTGGTCAATGTTGACACTGCGGGAAGAAAAAGAATGCACTTAGTATCTCGGCCGTGAAACATGATCAAAGAGAAGACTTTACAGGCTCGCAATATCACATTATGAGGTCTAGAAAACTGCATACACAAGCGAGGGGGCTTCATGAAGAGCACTCGGGGACACGAAACCCTCGTTGGGGCGGCCAGAATGCAATGCGAATGCTGAAATAAAATATCCAGAGGCCGAATTCTTTGATATCCAATATGAAGGTAATTGTTTGTCCCGGATTTGAGAATGGACAGCCATTATAGAGGTAAGTTGCACATGGAGCTTCGATATCGTACTCAGCACTACCTGGTTGTTCACGTCAAAACAACGCAGATACCATCCTCACCATAGTTACCGCAAACGAAAGGCTTAGTGGAATGGTTAGAATACCGGCAGCCCCATCCGGACCATTTCCTCTCGACGTCTCTGCGCCCGTCGCTTCCGCGCTTATTGACGCCGTCGTTGTTCCTGTCTGGAGTGGAAAGCTGCCGTTATCCGCCGCCGTAACCCCAGGGCAGACGCCCTCTAGGAGTTGTTTTGTAAACAAGTTCACCGCCTCGGTCGGGCAAACGATCTGGAGACAGTTCCTAGCAAACCATGTTAGCTCGGAACGTTCTGCAGCCGTGCGTAAGACTCACATCCCGATCGTCTGGTAGGCCGGGCAGTAGCAGTCGGTCATGACGCCGGCAACGGCCGTCTCGTCGGCGTCGTCGAGTGTTCTTGTCGCGTACGGCGAACAATCGCTCTTTGTTAGTTGCGCCAGCATCGCGGAGTTTGTGCAATCCGTCCAGGACCTGTGTGCTCATGCCGGTCAGCAACTCGGCAACGCCTGCCGTCCACACTTCTATACCTACAGCCACGGCGCGATTAATCCTTTTGTCGTGCAAAGTTCCTCCCACTGCGTCGTTCTCGGCTTTGCGGGGCCTGCTAGTGTAGGCATGATGGCTGGTACCGATGGATGCGTTGGTGTCTGCGCAGCTGCGAGCTGATGTATAATTAGGACATTGAGGGCGAGAAGGGGAAGTACGAGGCCCTTTATCCGAGCCGAGTTCCTTCTCATGATAATTTTGGTGGTCGGTTTAGCAAGCAGATCTCAGTAATCATACGGATGAATGAGTTGAAGCAGCATCGACACCCGGTAGCCAGTCACTACGCATGTATCCTAGAGGGAAGAACCCCGTATCGCGGGGGATGTGTCAATTAAGTAGTTGGCCTCTAGGCATGCTCTTTCCATGGTAAGTCTGGTCAGGGGGAAATTGCGCTTGGTTCAATTCGTCCTCCAGTCCACCTGCTGTGCCGCTTGCCTGCATCGTCGGATATCGGCTAAAGAACAATGCCCAGCAACATGGCCCGTATTACTTCATCTCATATGAGAGTCCCATGCCAAGAAAAGAGGCATACTGAAGATGATGGAAGCGTTTAGGTCGACAGAAAAGCCAACAAAGTTTAGTCACGATGCAAGAAATATCGTAATTCTTACACAATCGCTGGTGTTGTAGTTGCAGAAACAAGGTCATTTGAGCTGAAGGCCACCAGTGCCAGCTGGCAGCAGATGGCGGCTGGCAGGTTCGACCGAGGCACTGCACTCTGTATTAGAAGCCGACGATATGCGGCCAAGCTCTTCCACGCCCCAGCTCTCTCCTCCAGTTGACCTACGACTTGCCGATCTACCCCTCGTTGACAACCCTTAAATAATTCAACTTCAAAATGCTTGCCATCCGTCCAGCAATCTGTAGGGCGTGCAAGAGGGCCCAGGTTGGCCGAATCCCTACGAGGGGGTTCGCGACCACCAGTAGACCAATCCAGCAGCCGCCCCGCGATAACTACGTCAAGCTCGTCGAGGTCGGTCCCCGCGATGGACTGCAGAACGAAAAGAAGACGATACCCCTCGCCACCAAGATTGAGTTGATCGAAAGGCTTGCCAAAACGGGCGTCTCTACAATTGAGGGCGGCTCTTTCGTCTCTCCTAAATGGGTTCCTCAGGTAAGTCTACTCTAGTGGTCTGATAATCTCCCGAAAGCTGTATTGTTGACGTTGAACACTTGCAGATGGCCAATTCCAGCGACATCCTCGAGCACATCCTGACACGAAAGATCTCCTCCCCATCGCAAACATCATACTCATTCCTTACTCCGAACATTAAGGGGTTGCAGAACGCCCAGGAACTGCTGGCCAAGTACCCCGGCGCTTTTGCATCACAGCTCCAGCCATCAGCAGACGAATCGAAGCCCGCCGTCGAAATTGCCGTTTTTGCAGCCGCGACCGAGTCCTTTTCCAAGAAGAACCTCAACTGCGACATCGCGACATCACTCGACCGTTTCCGTGAAGTTATCCGCGACGCCAAGGCCGCCGGTCTCCGCGTCCGCGCATACGTTTCCGTCGTCCTCGGCTGCCCCTTCGAGGGCTATGACGTCGACCCGCACAAGGTGGCCGAGATCTCCACGGAATTGTTGGAGTCGGGCGCCGACGAGGTTTCGCTGGGAGACACCACGGGCATGGGCACGGCTCCACGGACGAAGGAACTGCTGAACTGCATGAGAGCTGCAGGCATCAGGAATGAGGACATTGCCATGCACTTCCACGACACGTACGGCCAGGCGCTGGTGAACACGGCCGTTTCTTTGGAACATGGCATTCGCACGTTTGACAGCAGTGTTGGCGGGCTCGGCGGATGCCCATACAGCCCTGGTGCCACTGGCAACGTGTCCACAGAAAACATGATTTACTTTATCGAAAGTTTGGGCATGGAGACCGGCATTGATCTGGATGCCATGTCGGATATTGGTGCTTGGATCACGGGCGAGCTGGGCAAGGCCAACGACAGCACTGTTGGTAAGGCGGTATTGGGAACCAGAGGTCGTGAAGAGGCGGCGTAATTGGGTTACAGTCCTTGATCAAACCAAAATCTAAGTAATTAAGGGTTGAGACATTTGTTCTTGTTTTTTTCCCTGAAAAACGTTTATGTCTTTCACAGATGAATAGTGTAATCCTCATCTACCTAGGTACCTTCAAGAGAGGAGATGCAGTCATGTGATGTCACTGTCACACTCGCTACACACTGGCGCTAGCGCCCAACCTGACACTGACACTGGGAAGCTCCCAGGCCCGCGCTCCCCCCTCAGTGAGGTGAGGACCACTGATCTTATCGGGGGGCCGCCATCTGTGACTGTGACCCAGCTTGCCGAGTGGGCTCCACCAAGACGAAGCAAGCTCCAGTGCTGTGCATTCGACGACACTGCAACGACCTGCCAACCTCCTCCAGCTGCCTACGTCGCCTCGCAACGTCTCCATTCATCCGCCCACCCACGCCCTTCCTAATCGACGCTCTCGATTCAACACGCATTGTCTTCTACACGGGCACTGTCTCATTGATAGTCAGAAGCAATGAGTGACCCCCGGGAGCCATCCTACTCCATCGTGCCGAGGATTCGGTACAACACCGTCGGTGGTGTCAACGGACCCCTCGTCATTCTCGAGAATGTGCGTGTCGCCCGCCGCGCCGGGCATCGCAGCGAGATGCTGGGGTTGCAGCGCTGACTTTGTGTCTAGGTCAAATTCCCCAGATACAACGAGATTGTCTCTCTGACCCTGCCCGATGGAACCAACAGACAGGGTCAGGTCCTTGAGGCCCGAGGTATTTACCCATTCCACTCCCCTTTGCATTGGACTTCTTGCTGACGAACATCTACAGGTGACCGAGCCGTCGTCCAGGTATGCGACCCGAGCGATCATGCGAGAAACAGCGATTGACGATGGAAATAGGTCTTTGAGGGTACATCAGGCATCGATGTCAAGAAGGTATGAGATCATCGCCATCTCGACAAAGGATGCGTGCGCTAAATTTCTGCCAGACCAAAGTCGAGTTCACGGGCCAGAGCTTGAAGCTCGGTGTGTCGGAGGACATGCTCGGTCGTATCTTCGATGGCTCTGGACGTGCCATCGACAAGGGCCCCAAGGTCTTGGCCGAGGACTACCTCGACATCAACGGCAGTCCCATCAACCCCTTCTCCCGTGTAGGTTCACGTCCCCCTCGCGGCTCCTGGACCAGGCGCTGACGTAGCATAGGAATACCCCGAGGAAATGATTTCGACCGGTATCTCTGCCATTGACACCATGAACTCCATCGCCCGTGGCCAAAAGATCCCGATTTTCTCTTCGTCCGGTCTGCCGCACAACGAAATCGCCGCCCAGATCTGCAGACAGGCCAGTCTGGTCCAGAAGCAGGGTGTT